ATATCTAACATTGCAAATCAGTTACTTGAGAATCAATTAGTTTAATTTTACAGATTTAATGCACATGCCGTATTTATCTTCTTCTGTAGTTTATGGCGTCTAATATGTGGAAGCTATGTCTTGACCAAAATCCAAGCATCTACTCTCCACAAAAAAAATTATAGAAACACTCGCGCTAGGATATCCACTCTCTTGAGGTTAAATCAGAAGCCTCTCTTTCACATGGACCACCTAACAATCTTTCAAAAGAATATTATGTTCGGCCAGAAAGTCACAATGGATGTTGTTGTGGAACAACCTCCTCGACCTTGGTCGGTGCCTTCATGTCTTACCTGGAGGTTAGCTTGAGTATTACTTATTTTTAGGATGTTTGTTGATTCATGCAAACGTATAAGAAAATGAACATCCGGTTTTTAAATCCAAAATTAATTGTGTATATAAGATATTTAGGAATCAATTTGCACTTTTTTAAATAATATTTTGAGTTCTTGCAACTCCAAGGACATTAGCAAATTACGACATTGAGATCTTTGGGAAGTGATGGATTGGTTGAGATTTTGTTCTCGACTGTTTCGGTAATTCTTTGATAACTTGAAAATCTATGGAAGGGTTTAGTCTTTTGCAGTTAATCTTAACTTTTCTTACTATTTAGGTTAGCTTCGTGGGTAAACCTTAAATCCCTCTGCTTCTCCAAAGTATGGTGGATGCGACTGTCACGATCAAAGTTTGAAACTTTGGAATCAAGTTTGTAGCGAATTCTTGGGTTGGGTTTGATTTTGTGATATTGCATATCAATTCATTTGAAAACAATATGCAACTTCTGTGGTAAGTTGTAAAGACTGCTAAAATGTGAATGCTAATTGAAAGAGATCTTAGATTATGTATACATTTGGTAGTAACTCAGTACGTGAAAGACTGAACTAAGCGAAAGACTGAACAAGAGGGTGAATAACGAATCTCGAGTGAGTTTAAAAAGGTTATTTCGTTGATTTTGTTATATAACCCGTTTTTGTACATTTTTAATCTGGATTTTAAAAGTCTTTTACGTGTTTATATTTGTCGTTCATAGATTGAATACATTCAGAGCATCTCTAACTTCTCAAGATCGGAAAATGTCGTCGATGACAACCAGCTGATTCGCGGGACGGAAAACATAAAGGATAAGTCAAGAAGCGGCCAAAGATGCAAGGAGGAAGAGAGCAAAAGGATGCAAAATGAGAGACGCAGCGAGCAAGGTATCAACGAGCTTGGTCCAAAGCCGAGTATCAGCTAAAACGTGACAAATTGATTTTAGAACATGAGACACGAGGAGGTGAAGAGAGCTTAGTAACGATGGTTCCTCTTCCACCAGGAAGAAGATGATGATCATGAGTTGAAGTCGGAAGAATAATATATATAAGCCATTGAAGCAGGTAGAGTTCTTGGTCATTCCTATTGGGGTATATGCTTAAACCAAAAAGCAAAATAGAAGTGAGTTTTCTCTTTCACTGCTCTATATTTTTATATATTTCTTTATCTTCTTATTCTAATAAGAATTCATAAAGATCTAAATCCTATTTGATGGGTGAATATTGCATAACCAATCTATTCACTTGCTCCTCATAGTTTTTTTTTTTGTTGCGGACAACCAATTTTGGAGAGGCTGGTAAACAAGATAACCTTTTGAAAAAGTTTGTTTACATGAAATTATTTTGAAAACTATGTTTTACTTGAAGGAAATTGTTTCTAATTATCATTACCACATTTAAGAGTATACAATCTAAAGATTTGTTTGAGAACAAAAAATAGTTTTCATTGTTTCTTGAGTTTAGACTGGCGTGAGAAAGAGTAGAATAATCTCCTTCTTAACAACCATGATAAGTAAACATTTTTCTTTATACTTCTCTCCTTTTGGTAAAGGATCCTTGGTATATATTTGGTCTTTTTTTGGGCTATAGTTTATAAACCTGGAACTCCACGAGCATTNAACATCTTAGGTGGCACGAAAGGTTGCTCCATCTTTTATTTCAAAGTAAGGTATGTTGGGATATCAATCCACGTCCCACATCCAAAGTTTAGACATGAATTGTCTAGCATATAAGTAATGTTCAACTCCAATTAGTATGATGCCTTTTGGGAAAGAACCCAAAAAAAAATTCGTGCGAGCTTTGCCTCTGGACGCAAAGCGGACAATATCATACTAATGGGGGAGTTGGACATGGGCTTTAAAAGCCCCAATAAATGGTAGCATAGCCAAGGTTCAGAGAAATGGACCGGGAGAAGTGGGTTGGATATGTTCGGTTTAGAGAAGTGAGTTGGACATGTTCGTTGTGGGAGGTAAGCCTCAAAAGGTGACCTCGCGAATAAGGGTGCCAAGAGTACAAGCGGTACAAGAAGGGTACCAGGTTTCGCTGGAGGTAGAAGGCCACGAGTTTATGTGGTACTTGGTTTGAGGGAGAGATTGTTGGGATATCAATCCAAGTCCCACATACAAAATTTAGACATGAATTGTCTAGCATATAAGTAATGTTCAACTCCAATTAGTATGAGGCCTTTTGGGAAGGAGCCCAAGAACAAATCCGTGCGGGCTTTGCCTCTGGACCCAAAGCGGACAATATCATACTAATTGAGGAGTTGGACATGGGTTTTAAAAGCCCCAATAAGGTATTTGTCTATAGAGTTAAGGAAGAAGAGGCTAAAGAAGAATGACATTAAAGAAGAATCTAATGTATGAAGAAGAATGTCCTGAGGTTTTGTTTTAGTCTCTTCAAGCCATTATCTCATTCATCTGAAGTTGTTCAGGTTATAATTTTTATTTTTATATAATTAAGACTGGCATAATTATATATATACTAATTAACATATATACGTTATACTCCACTGTTATACTTTTGTAACATTAAGTTAATTTACGAGAGTTCATTCTAATCATTTTGTAATAAAAAATAAATCATGCGCTTCAAGAAGAGATAAATTATAATAATTTGTTTTTTTAAATCTTAATACGTGTGTTTTGGTCGATTATATTTAAATTCGAACAGTTAACTGATATCTCTCAAATATCTTATGTAGAAACAAGAAAAAAATCAAGTGGAGAAAATTATTCTATGAAATGACATAATGTAGAAGAGATCTTATTGCTGAAACAAGAAAAATGCCAAGTTCGATATGAAGTAGAATATTATCGAGAAAAATATCAAACGTCTCGAGATACATCATTCGAAATCAAAACAACTTGGATTTGACAAAGTAGCCTAATTCTAGAATTATCCAACATGTTTTTCATTGTGTTAATAACAAAGAAGAAACATTACCGTATATGATATAATTATATGTTTATTATCATTTGGATAACTTATACTACGTTTTAAAATAATGTTTAAAATTGATCTTATAACAATCTTAAATACTTATTAGTTTGGATTGTTAATTATATTTCATCG